AGAGAGAGAGAGAGAGTAACCCCCCAAAATCAGGTATAAAAAGGAAGCCAATGTGATTCTATTTAGTAGCCGAAAAGAAAGAGTTAAGAACTGAACGGCCCCTTTTTTAATTTTAAATTTCTTGAGCTGTTTCTTCTGCTCATTTGCTTTATTCCCTAATTTCGATAAGATTTTCTGGTTCACTTTTTAACTTGAAATACACGTTATTATAGAGACCTATATTTTCGCGGCCTTGAAAAAGCTGTGATTGTTAGCCTCAGCCCACCTATATAAACCATCTATCATCTTCTTCATTTTTCAGTGAAGTTCAAGATTTTTGTATCAGATATAAAAATGGAGGCCGGTGGTGTAGTGGTGTTGGTGAGAGAATTTGATGCTCAAAAAGACAGTATAGCAGTGGAAGAAGTGGAGAGAAAGTGTGAGGTTGGTCCCAGTGGAAAACTCTCGCTCTTCACTGATCTTATGGGTGATCCCATTTGCAGGGTCCGCCATTCCCCTGCTTATCTCATGCTGGTAAAAATCACGTTTCATTATTTTCTGCTAAAGCTTTTTCTACCTTTTCAACTTATGATGATTGCTTTTTTTTCTTTTTCTTTTTTTCCCTCTTTCAGGTGGCGGAGATGGTGGTGAGCCACGGCGGATCAGAGGTGGAGGAAAAGAGAGAAATTGTTGGGATGATAAGGGGCTGCATCAAAACCGTTACGTGTGGAAAGAAACTCTCGAGAAATAGCAAAAGCTCCCCCACTAAACCTCCTCAAACTCTCCCTGTCTACACCAAAGTTGCCTATATTTTAGGCCTTCGTGTTTCTCCTTCCCATCGGTACTACACACTTTTTAAGTTCCAGTCTTCATTACATAACCCAAAGAGGACCAAAACTCTTTGTTTGTTTTTTTTTTTTTTTTTTTTTCCCAAAAGGGTTTTTTTAAAAAACCCAGTCTTCATTACATAACCCAAAGAGGACCAAAACTCTTTGTTTGTTTTTTTTTTTTTTTTTTCTCCCAAAAGGGATTCTTTAGTAGATCCTTTTGGTAGACCACCCAATTATTGCACCCCAAAATTTTTTATTAGTTCACACTTTAACACAATAAATTAAAGTTTAAAATTTTGGTTTCATCTTTCTTGTAACTTATTCTTTAAATTTGACTTTTTACAGAAGAATGGGAATTGGATTGAAACTGGTGAAAAGAATGGAGGAATGGTTTGGAGAAAATGGAGCTGAATATTCGTATATAGCCACGGAAAATGATAATGAAGCATCTGTTAAGCTTTTCACACAAAAATGTGGCTATTCAAAATTCCGTACGCCGTCGATCTTAGTCCAGCCGGTGTTCGCCCACCGGGTTAGGCTCGACCACGGAATAACCATCATCAAACTCAGCCCCCCTGACGCGGAGGCGCTATACCGGTGCCGTTTCTCCACGACGGAATTCTTCCCCCGTGACATTGACTGTGTTTTGAACAATAAGCTCAATTTGGGTACTTATCTTGCGGTGCCGAAAGGGACGTACGACGCCGAGTTATGGCGGGGTTTGGACGAGTTTCTGGCGAGTCCGACGGAATCGTGGGCTGTGCTGAGTGTGTGGAATTGCAAGGACGTGTTCAAACTCGAGGTAAGAGGTGCGTCGCGTGTGAGGAAAGTGTTTTGTAAAACAACTCGGGTTGTGGATCGGGCCTTACCCTGGCTTCAACTCCCCTCGGTGCCGGAAGTTTTCAGGCCTTTTGGGCTTCATTTCTTGTACGGGCTTGGTGGGGACGGCCCAAATGCAGTGAAGTTCATTAAAGCCCTATGTGGATTCGCCCATAACCTTGCTAAAGAGCGTGGCTGCGGAGTTGTGGCAACAGAGGTTGCAAGTCACGAACCGCTCAGGCTAGGTGTACCCTACTGGAAGATGCTATCCTGCACTGAGGACCTATGGTGCATTAAACGGTTGGGGGAAGACTATAGTGACGGATCCGTCGGTGATTGGACCAAGTCACCACCTGGACTGTCCGTTTTTGTTGATCCGAGGGAATTCTAACCAAGAATCTAATTTAAAAGTAGTTAGACAAAGCATCTTTTTTTTTTTTTTTGCCTTAAAAACTTATGTCAGATTTAGCTTTCTCTTGAAGGGGGCTTAGTAGTGAGGCAAAAACTACAAGGAAATGAGAAGATATGTTGGTGTTTAGTAGTTGTTGTATAGGGAATATCTCCTTTGCTTTTTGTAAATGGATTTGGCTTTTTAGATCCTCTTTGAGCCAAACAAACCCTTATTTTTTTATTTTCTTTAAAATTTTTAATTTGGGGTTGTTTCCTCTATGTTCCATTATAAACTAATTGCTTATACGTGAGAAGGGGACCGCCTGTGCATTTCTCAATGATCGATGGCGTAAAAGTACTGTGAGGTCTTTTATATGAAGTCAGGGCAAAGGAATTGGAATTATACTATTTGTACATTCTTCGATGACATTTTTGTTGGCATAATGTGTTGTCAAAATTTTGATCGTTGATTATTTTAAATATTGTATAAATTAAGAGCAAAATTGTTGGCCACCTCACAAAATGTCGATCAAATTATATCTATAGCAAATTTGAATTTGAATTTTAGATAATGTATATGAAGGGATGGGTATATATCAGCCGTGTTGTTTGGTACCGCCCCTCCAATAGGAGGACACCACATGGACGCCCTGTTTTTTGGTCAGGATTTAACCTTGGTCAAACCGGTTTTTCCGGATATATGTACACTTGATTGAAAAGATGTGTAAAATGGTGAAACCATGGGCGATGAAAAATTGTGGAGGACAAAATGGTATTACAAATGTTGGGGGGGACCCTTGAGTAGATGGACTTCTAGGAGGAATGTGAAATTTGGCTATATGATTGCAATGGGTGACTTTTTGTTTGATTATGTTGGATAAGATGCTTGTAGTCTTATTAATGGATTATTGGATATTGCTAACGAAATACCAAATTTAGATCTCATTTTATTGTACGGTCATTATCTTCGGAATCTGAGTATATTGGACTCGAGGACTGGGAGCGGGGCACATTTGTTCTTTCCCTCTATTTATTTATTTATTTTTTTTTTTTTTCCCCCAATCGGGCTATAGGTACAGGAATTCAAAATGGTTGTTTTGACAGAAAATATATAGAAATTTAAAATAGTTGAGTTGGCATAAAATCACAATAAAATGACCAAAAAATTGGGGCAAAAACGAAAGGGCAACCTCACTAACTAAACCCAAACGAGTTTCCCCATTTCCCCCAAATTGAGTTTGCTAGAGTTGCGACTTCTCCCGCAGCCAAGTTGATCGCCGCAGTCATCGTCTTCGGCACCGACGAAGAGCCCCCATCGTGTTCTTCACATTTACACCGTCCATAGCAACGATTCGCAGCCAGTGTGCCCTACACTCGAGTGTGCGCTGGAATCAGCCACCGCCCTTATCTCCTTCCCCAGTGCCACAGTCACCGCAGTCACACATCCATCCCTTGACATCAACGTAAGTGTTTTGTAGAGTTGTTGTTTGACATAGGTTCTCAGTTTTTTCCGTGGTTTTTTATAAATATCATGTTTGAATGTCCAAAGTTTTCCCATTATAAAAGTTTGCATTTTGGATGTTGATTATTCTTTGTTTGAGTAAGTTACATTTTTACGAGACTTGTTGGTTTATGAAGATGGGTGCCACCATTTTAGTTTTATTGGTAACTCGGTTTGCATAATTGTCTTCACTGATAGTTGAATTCCGGCACCTTAATGGGGAAATCAAGAAGGAATTTCTTGCACCGGTTGTTCTGAATACATGTATTATGAGATTTGTTGTTGTTTGATGAAGGTGAATGTCCTACACCGGTTTGTATAATGGGAAAATCAAAATTAGTACGCCAGTGACACCTGCAAACACAGCCCGATTGTTTCATGTATGTATGATTGGAAATCCTGAACTTTTATTTAATTACGTTTGTAGGGATAAATTCGAATTTCACGTATGTATGAGGGATGGAAGATGAACTTTTAGTTTATCATATAATCAATCTTATGTGTATCTTTTTGACAAGTTTGTTTCATTTTCAGACCTCGTCTAGAATGAGAGGAAGAAATTTAGGAGTTTGTCACGATTGTAGAAGCAATAGGCACTACTTCGAACAATGCCAGTTAAAAACTTTGATGCCTTAGTTGTGACCACGAATATCGAAAATATTTTGAGATCAAACGGGATACCAGTAACAAAGGGCGATTGTTCTTTACCTGTAGTAATGACTGCGGATACTTTGATTGGGTAAAAGATGAAGATTTAGGCGGGGAATCGAGTTCCATTCGTCATGCGGTCAATCAGTCGCCCGACAAGGAAGACGAAGAGCTAACAAGACTCTTTGATGGACTAGCTAGAATTAGCGAGAAACGAGGAGTTGACATATCACTGCACATGACTTTTAGCAAGGGAAAGGGAATTGCCAACTCTTTGATGGGCTAGCTAGTATGATGTGAATTTCAATTTGCATAACAATGTATTGGTCTTATGTATGTCTAATTTGTATTTCATGGTGGTTTGTAAGACAAAACTCTATGTCTAATATTGCCTAATTGTCCTATTCATAAATTCAAGCTGATCATTCAAGAGTAATAAAACAAATAAATGATAGATAACAATCAACGAAATAAAGTCATATTATCCACGATAAAATCTAAATGCAGGCTTCCCTTACTAGTAAATAAGAAAAATGCAACAAATCCAAACGCCGTTTTGCATGTAATAAATGTGTGTACACGTACCTTTCCCCCAAGAATTAGAAGCGTGTGGCACCTTGCTGGGGAAAATCTGAATAGAAGCATGGCATAACACAACCTGATTTACATGGTAAACATTAAAACACAATTTGACGTCAAAAGACATACATAAATACCTAACACAAACCTTCTGCGTTGACCACGACATTTGTGGTTGCTGGATGGACGAAGTATTGTAATGGTGTCGGCATAGGACATTATGGTAGTAGAGACGCCTGGACATCGACTGATCCCTATTCCACATTACTTTGAGTAGCTCTATGCCTCTTTCCTTTGTTTGACGATGCAGTGGCCTGCATGTTCAACAATTCAAATGCTTATTTGTTACAAATTCATTATAAACAAAGATAGTAATAATAAAACATACATTCGCTCTCTTTGAACTAGACTCTAATGGGCCTTTTTCTTTCGAAGTTTCTTCGGTGCGCCCTTTCTATGAGAAGCTACTGGATCCAATATGTTTCCACCACTACAGTTAGGCTGGGAATAAACAACGCTTCCAACACTTGACTTAGACTTCCGTAACTCTTCTATTTGCGATGTCATCCACTCCATTATAATGCGTGTCCATACTTCGTCATTTGCTACCAGGTCCGCCACCTCTGAAAAAATTCAACACATCTTGTGGTACCTCAACTGTCCAGGACTACTGACCAATCCATCGCAATGTACTGCGATCATTGAGTGTGCTTTACTAACATCTCGTGTCCACCTCCTCAATATGTACCTCTCAGGCATCGATGTTATGTCGTTACGAATCAAGACTGCAATCGCATACCTACAAATAATTCTCCGAAATTCAAATAGGTGGCAACTACAAATCAATTCACATGTATCCCTCCAATATGATATGCAAAATGATTTTTTCTTGCGGTGCTTGTGAAGAACGACATCCTTAACCTCGTAAGTCGACCGATAATAGTTATTGGCATTCTCAGTTACAATGTCGCAGTATACCTTCCTAGTGAATTCCTGCTGAACTTCTTTGAACTTTTCGATGGTATAAACCGCTTGAAATTACTTTTCCATTCCGTATGTTGTCGCACACAGAACCATCTGGGAGTAGGACTTAAAATCTGCCTAAATCTCCTTCTCGACCTTATTTCTTAATGCTCTTTCATACTGCTCCATAAACTACTTCAATGAGGTTTTCGAATGCACATATCCATTGAAAAATGTATTCATGCTTTCACTTCGTTGTGTCGTGGACATGCCTGCCCAAAATGCGATTTTCAAAAAATAAGGCACCCACTGACCTCTGTTCTCATATATCCTAATAGCTAATCATTATTATGCAAGTCATACATATCGAGCATCGACCTCCAACCTCCTTAGAATTCTTGTACATTCTTCTCATCATATACCAGTCATGTATAGCAGGAAATTTCGACCTCTTTTCAAAGTGGTATCCAAACTTTTCTGGTAACTTTTTCATAATGTGCCACAGACACCATCTATACTTCGTGTTTGGAAAAACAATCACAATGGTATTTTGCATTGTCCGATCCTGATCAGTAATGATGGCATTAGGAGCTTGACCATGCATACATTCAAGCTAAGTTCTAAACAACCACACAAACGTCCCTGTGTCCTCGTTCGACAACAATCCACAGTCGAGCAGTGTGGATTGGCCATGGTGATTTATACCAACGAAAGGGGCGAATGGCATGTCGTACTTATTAGTGAGGTAGGTAGTATCAAAAGTAACAACATCACCAAACTCCCCGTAAGATTGCCTACATCTATTGTCTGCCCAAAAAACATTCTTCAATCTCCATTCATCATCTAAGTCCACACTAAAGTAAAACCCCGAGCACCGTGCCTACATCTTTGAAAAGTTTGCCTGTATTGCGAGGGCATCTCCTTCCCCAAGACGTAGTCGTCTCACCTATTCAATGTAGTTCCGACTATCCTTCTCCACAAAAGTCGTGTTCTCATATCCACCAGCTTCAACAACTATAGAATTATAACTCTTATGCAAGGGAATTCCTGTCATATCATTCACCTCAAGCTTTCGTTTCACACTTGCACTCAATTTTCTGTTGCATCGATACAACCTAGACTTGGATGGACTTGTTTTGTGATTATGGTCAAGGTACACTTTGTTAATCCTCCATATTCCCAGGCTATCTAAAGATACAAATACTGTTGCTTTACAATCAATTTGACTTGTTGGTTGCGGTTTCAAGGAACCGCCTGTAGCATAAGTTCTCCAACCTTCTCAACTACATGTGAACGTCACATATCTCATAACTCCATCTTCCCCTTGTTTGAATTCCTTTTTCGCACCGAAAAGTCAACGGCGTAAACATATTTTTTGTAGAAATCAAACATTTTTTTTCTCATCACTAAACGTTATACCCACCTTAGGCAATAACGCCATATCTTCTCATACATTTTCATTGTCCAGCATATTCAAATTCTCCACAATGTTCTCGTTATCAGATTGTAGCAACAAATT